TACTATTTTTTACCGTCTGAGACGCCGACTGAAGTGGAACCCTCAACCTGGAGTACCAGGAGACTGAACTTCGTCTGACCTCTACCCATTGACCTTCCAGGCATGGTTAGATCTTTGGCGCGACAAAAGCCATCCTGTGTGGCTCGTTGGGTCACAGAAGTGCACAAGCCATCACACCACGTCGAGGTGCAGTCTTGTCGTGATAGTATGCTAATATAGGACAACACTGTTCATCCGGAGTTGGCTTTTCACCCGTTAAAGTTAAACTGGCGTGAAGACAGACAGAGAGTACGTCAGAATGTTAAGTGCCTTCACTGAACAGGTTAATCCAATTGTTGTGCAACTCCTTTGGGGAAATGGGAATAACTGCCGCCTCCCTCTGTGGGGCGATAGCTGTATTAAAACCTCACACTTTGGAGAACGGTGGTTGAAGGTTTCTTATCAAAACAATTGCAGTGTATATTGAAACGGCTAGGGTATGTCCACAAATTCTGGTAATTTGCGTGTCACGAAAAAAGTTCCTACATTTCTCTAGATGAACTTATGCCAACGAGAACACACGGTAATCGCGGTATAAACAAAATAGATCCTGTCAGTGCAATTTTAGGAACTCGGCTTCCGACTGATAGATCGGTTAACAGGAGAAATGGTACAATGGCAGCCAAGGAGGTGCGAATGAATGAACNNNNGTACATGTCGATGGCAGTAAGAACCACATAGAACCAAATTTCGGACCTTCTGATTGGCTCAACACACTTAAATGTCGAACTCCTATCACACGTGATCTTCACTTGACTAATGGAGAATCCCTGTCAGGGGACTAGTTCACTGTAAACAGACGAATAACAAAAATGACACTTTAATCAGGTGTGATGATGATGATGATGATGATGAAACAGTAAGCTAGGAGATCAAAAGCCTATTAACAATATTTCTAATGGACATAGAAACCATTTTTAAACCATGCCAAATAGCTAGGGTGAATTGCCTTCAGGAGGTCCATTTGACCAATATGTATTTCAAATAATCCCAGGCGATTATGTAAAACGCCTGCTAGTAGCCTCAACTCCTAAAAATACTTTGACTTGCTTGTAGGGTCTGTAAAGTTGCGTGTGCTGCTCTAATTTGGTCTGATGCTTAATCTGTTNTGTTAGTTTTCGAGTTCACAGCTCGGAAAGGTTTGCGGTTTGAGTTCTGCCATGGACAACAAATAGGCCCCACTGATGAATTTCTGCTGGAACCAGACACCGATTCATCTCCTTTTATCGTTTACTGTGCAAGTCATGCACCAAAATGTATCGGGGTGTTTTATTCAGTCAAAATGCCAGCCAGCAAACTGGAATGAAGTTGTCTTGGCCTCAGCTAGTACAGTGATCGGCCCACCCTAGAAATGCTTTCAGGGCTTGACTACAAATCGAAGCCAGGCGCATCAGGAAAGTTGTATAACGTGGTATAATGATCTCGGTCGCTGTACGCATGCTGTTTTAACTGATTAACAATCAGTAAAACATTATCCATCGGAGTGACGTTCAAACAGCTGCTGTTGATTTGTACTCTGATTGTTTAGTTGATTAAAACACGAACTTGAATGTGATGATTGGCGTCCCAGTTACCGCGTGGTCCAAGTGCATCCAACAAAGAAGGTAGTTCGATCTATCATCTCAGTGATTAGATGATCATGGGTTGCGCAACTGACAGCTGATTGTACCAAATCTAAAGGTTTATTTATAAGAGCTGACTCAATGCACACGCTTCAAACAGCGCACTGTTTTTATTACGTTGTTTGTGTTTGGTTTGGTGATACTAGCGATGATGACAGCGATCGCAATTTTGTGAAAATTCACTGACAATCACTTTGATGCAGTCAATTTGATTCCAATCAGAAATAAAAACAAAAAATGTTAAGTGATCAGTGACGGAGAGAGTGATTAGGTCAATGAAACAAAGAAGACAATATACAGTGCCATTGCTCTGTCGCTTCACATCGTCTTGTCCCTCTCACCCGTGAATTTGGGCAGGCCCAGTTAACTTGGACTGTACAGCAGGAGTACCATCACCACACGAATGGACTGCACGTGACAACACAAGCATCACAAAAAGTACAAGCCGGTAATCAGACAGTCTCGAGTCTGGTTGAGATTCCAAGTGCCGCAAACCGCGGAATATGGTCCAATCAGATCCCAGAAAGGGCCAGAGGGAATTTACTTGTGACAGGTGGGAGGGACAATAAGGGGTAAAATAATGGAGCCATTGCAATTTAGAATATTCAGCACGTTGGATCACTACTTGTAAATGTTCCTGTACCAACTCAAGTTATTCCAACGATTGAAACTCATTGTTTTCACCACATTAAATGAGCTGGCTCCCTGTTACCTTGTTCTCCTTGGCGAGCCTGAAATGATGAATCTTCGAGGCAGAATGCTATTCTGTGCGTCCGCATTTTCGAAATTGCCGCATTTTCTCTCTCTCTCTCAAATAGTCGCCAGTTTCTCTCTTGTGCACAATCTGTGAGAAATCGCCAACTGTTGTGACACTTAGTCGATCCGGTAACCACCGCCATATTCAGGATGGTGTGTGTGTGGTTCGTACGCCCCTTCTTGGTTGGTTTGCAATCAGGGTTTTTAGTCAACTCCCCTAGGTGAACTACCAGCGGTCCACCGACCCGGTTATAGCCCCAGATGGCTTTCCGTCTTTTCATTATGATGTGAAAACACCTCCACCACATGAAGGCAGGAGAAAGGGTTTCTTCACCAGAGGCTATTTGAGACGCTTGGTTGTATAGGAGTATTTAGCGAATTGCCAGAGTAGCGTAACCAACCACAACCCGAAACATCCACCCCGGACCACGCTGAGGCTTTCACTATGGACGTGGCCAATTACCCATCGCTTGAGTGTTGTTTTTGTCTTATTGTATGTAATTGTTTTGTCCCGTTTTACGCATTTTATGCTCACATTTATCCATTGTATATCACCAAAAATACTGGAACTTCACCCTATTGGGTGTTTAAAGCTCAGTTCAACTTTTCCTTTTCCCAATAGCCTTTTAGTTTCAGAGATTTGGGCATTCGGTACCTGTATCAATGAGTTTGCACCAGGGTAGAGTTTGTGATGAAGGGGACTATGAACCGGGTTCATACATTTTAGTCGGAATTGTTCTCAATTTCGTTTATGGGTTTCATCACAACAACCGGCTATAGGCTGTTAGGAGACCGCAAAACTCGTCACGTGCTTTGTGTATGGGTGCTAAACGGCTAACACAAATTCCCTGCATTTAATTGTATATGTTATATTACATTAGTATGGCCATGAAACAATGACCGCGATCTTGTTTGCCATAAACTGTGCACAATTCCTTTTTTCATAACAGATTCAGATCTATCGACTAAACAGTTTAGAACAAATGATTTGAGTGGCCCTATTGTCATTTATTTGCGATTCCTCATGCTACTGGGCTGTAAATTGATTCATAAAGTGCAGACAAAGATAGTTTCGAAAAATGGGATGACCCGTTTTTGCTCTTCTAAACTGACTTCTGAGAAGGACACTAAACTATAGATCAAGTTGGAGGAATTTCTCAATGGTCGCTGTCGTGTAAACACTATTCGATCCTTTTCACGGCTCGAAACACTGTCGAGNNNNTGTCGAGTTTGTGCTGGTACTGATTCAAATCCGGCAAGGGATTTGAACCCTGCGGCCTAGACCCCGATCGATACAGAAACCTACTGATGGAGGCAATAAATTATCATGTGTTTATTCTCCATCATCAGGTCCTTTTTTTACCCTAAGGTTCCCAAGTTTTTCAAATAGACTCTAATAGACAGAGAGAAAAAATCCGCCGGTTAAAACTTGCAACATCTGTTCGCTCTAATCTTTTATCCAGATAACTAAGAAAAATCAAACGGGATGCACAAAGGTCCCATATCTTTACCACTTTTTTTCTTCCTCCGTCAGCTTCTGTACGAACGGTAGTCAGCATGCAAATTCGGTGTTTCATAAAAGACTATATAAGAAGGGGGTCACACGAACTACTTCGCCCATATTCACGCACATAGAATCCATTTGTATAACAATGCACATACACATACGCACAAACACTTCGTCCACAGTGATGCGTGCGACACAACTATTCGCGACGTTTGTGATAGCCGTCGCCCGTGAATTTCGTTCAAGACCACGAATTCCAGTTGGCCAAGGCCCACTACAACGAACNCCAACCAACCAACCAACCAACCAACCAACCAACCAACCAACCAACCAACCAACCAACCAACCAACCAACCAACCAACCAACTAATTCCATGGACGATGCAGTTCACGAGCCACGTACGGACGCTTTGTACAGTTGAACAAAGCGCTGCGACGCGAACCGGCACGTGTCAAGACGTTTATATATATAGATATATATCTATCTACGCTTGTGAATGCACACGTATACACAATACTAGATACACACGAGCACACGTGCACACATTCACAGTCCGATCCGTCCAACAGACGAGAACGCAAGGTATTGTTTACATGTGGACGCTTTCAATCTCCCTCGGCCTATCTCTGTTCATGTTTACGGACTGTGTGCATCAGGGGCTGAATGTTTCAAGTGCATACAACTTCGCAATCCACTCGTCGTCTGTCTGTAGGGCAATGCTGTCCATGGTAACATTACCATTTCCATGATTGCTTCTGCACGCCGTTGGACTGTTCATGTGTGCTTACTCGTGAATTTGTGGACTCAGTTCACGGGGATCGTTCAAACAACCAACAAAGATGATCAGACAGTGCATTTACAGCCATCTGTTTCATTGCATACGAATGCTGAGGAATCCGTACGGACTATACACATGATCTGTCCCACGGGGACTCGTTGGATTGTGCCCGAAACAATTGACTCGTCAGCCAGGATCTCGATTAAACCTTACGAAGCCCGGGGAAGCATTCTGACATTTCATCTGCCCGCGAACAACATTGAGACGCGATGGACGTATCGCGGACTGTACGAGTGCTGTCCAATGCGTTCGGACGTTCCGGTCCCTTTGATCTGGATTAGACGATCGAAACAGCCCATGTGTTGCCCATGTTGTCCATGGTATGAGCAACATCAGTGTCTTTCCGACGGGATGCTTTCCCTTGAACTCGGACGGAACTCAAGCACAGCCGAAGGAAATAACCCTTGTCTTAGCACATTTCTCTTCACGGGGACTGTAAATACACAAGCAATACGATTGCATATTGTCCCCGAGGAACCTATGCTTTTACCATGTCCGGCACCATTCCACACACCAAATGTGCACGAAGCTCATTTTCCACTAAGCATACAACATCGGTTTTTTCTTCATTCTGCAGTGGAAATGCCGTGGTTCCCATTTCCCAATAATAATCATGGAATTGATCATACATACGATCCACGATACGGATTGTGTTTGCATCGCGCACAATTCCCACGAACCACGCTGCAACTCGCCTGTCACTATCAATCCACCGGTCAGGTTCGGTTAGTCCAAACTGTTTGGCCACCCTCATCCCCAACCATTCCGCCAGAGGTACAACTGCGATTTGTGAACTCTTCCGCGGTGGAAAATCCTCCCATGTGGCATAGTCTCAGGTCGCCCACAACAAGTCGGGGAACGGATGTGATCACAGTCTATCGAGCACGTGCGGGAGATACTGTACGCGTGCAATGCATCGGAAGCTACAGTCAACTACGAATCGTTAAGCAACCACCACCGAGATTGTGCTTTTCATGGAATTGGTCAAAAAAAAACGAGGTGAGCAATTGACAACCGACATTAAATTACGCTTTAACCATACAAAACATGAAGTTTTAGTTAGCATTACCTAAAAAGGTCATTGTGCTTTGCCGAAGGTACGTACCGTATTAGCGTATAGCCACTTTGGTTATGAGAACCATAGCTGTCTTTCGACCGAAAACCAAATTATGGTTAGCCGAGATCTGCTGCGTGATCCACTGCTTCCCTTTTCATCGCCATTCATGACGTTTATTGGGGGAAAAATGAGGTAGTAAGTCAACTTGCTTTCAATGTTTTCACTCCCTGGCTAATGCGGTTGTGCCAACTGCGATAGTCGATCGATCGATTGCGTGTCTTTCCATTGATTAGCTGATTACTCGTGATTCATGCATCACGCTATCCCATTACTTTGCATATGTGAGCCCGTGATAGACGGTCCTGTTCAAATACATTTCGTAACCTTGTATTCTAACTAGTACATAAATACGAAGAAGTGCGTAATAGTCATCTTATGTTTAACATGGTTTCAATGATTGTTAGAGCTAATAAGTCGTTTAAAAAAGAATAGGTATAGGAGATATGGTCGATGATTATCATATGCGGTTTAGGCGGTAGGGTCATGAAGTTGGCCAACATCAATTTTTTTCGGGGGAGAGGGAAGGATTCAATTTCGAGCCACTGAGGATGAGGAGCATCTACATGCTGTTTGTGGGAACAAGCTGATGAATTGAATTAGCAGTTTGTCAAGGCCTCGGCTGTCGCCAAATGACTCCAGCAGTGTCAGCCATAAGGAAAAGAAATCGAGAATATACTTATTCATTATTTCACTTTCATTTTTCGAATACCGTGCTAACAATCTTGAATGAGTTATCAACAATCTCCATCACATACTAGGGAACTTTTGATTGAAACCCACAGAGCCATGCTTCAAGTAATGACGGTTAATTTCAAGTCGTTGTTGAGAATCTCAGATAAATCTGATCAGGTTTATTCAGTTTATGTGATCATGCAACACAATCCAATAAGATATTCTTCTTCCGATATAAAATACTCCGTATTTGGTGTACCAGAAATTAACATATTCGAGAGGGTATTGTGTATGGATCACATAGGCTATTGTTTCAACCCTATGCGCAGTCGCTGGAATAGGGTGTGTGCATTGCTTTCCTGGTTCGGGGGATCTCTTCTACTGTGTATTGAATATATATGAGGCAAACCAATAAGCCACTTTGATAGTTCTATAATTTTCTTTCGAACGACGCGTTAACCCCGTAATCATGAAGATGAGGGGAATAAGGAAAATTTGTTTGAAGTACACAAAGCTGATTCTGCGCTTGAATGTGAGATGTTTAGAAACAGGAAGAAGATGGAGTAAAGGAAGACGTTATTGATAACAAAGGATTTGAACGCTTACCACCAACACACAGGCTTCTATAGATCCACCGCTTTTGAGGATGGACTAGAGCTAAATCCGTAGTAATCATGGTAGCATAGTGATGAACATGATTCGGTCGAACAGTGGTCGCTCGAGGCGAATGACTCATCCCGGATATCGCTCCACCAATCTATACCTTTTGCAATTCAAGTTGTCCCAATATCATATAAAGATATCTGGGAATCATTTCAAGCTGTCGCGTTGAAAGTACGGGTCTGCCAGGAGTATGGAAACGTTCCTGATGATCCGGAAGGTCTTTGGCTGCGCGAAACGAGAAACGGTACAGGGTTCTTCCGGGTGTTTGTTCGATTTCCTTTTGGATAATGTGTTCAGCTAACCCTACTTCCCTATGCCTGATTAAAGATTAAGCAGCTTCGAGTTAGGTGGTGGTATTTGCGGATGGCATGGATTGAATATAAAATGGCTGGCCTAATTTTCCTCGATTTTCCTTACGTATAGATGACACATTGAAAGCTTTCAGTGCGGGTTTGTTGAAGAAAGAAAGTTTATGGTGAAAAGCCTTGTTGACTGTTGGACCACTCGTTTGCCCAGTTCAAAGGAGGCCTTGCACGAGTAGCCTTTGCGCAACCAAGCGAGGCCTGCATGGGAGTAGCGATGTTCTAGCTGATTCCGTGTATAGTTGTTCGGTTCATTCGTCTCTTCTGAAAGGTTTTGTCAGACAATTGGTTTTGACAAATGCCAACGATCATCGTGTTCCCAGACGTCTGCGAGGCCTTGGAATCTATCGGAAGAATCAGATTATTGAACTGAAGCAATGGAATACATCTCTCTCTTTCCCCTCTGGATCGTGTTCAACTTAAGACCATCCGGCTGATCGACGAACGATCTTTAATTTCCAACCTACAATCACCTTCTGACCTCCGAGCAGTTGCTTCGTTATCTCTTTTCCATCATTACTATTTCGGTTTCTGTTCTTCTAAACTTACTTCAGCATTTCCCTTCCCCTTGAACTTTCCTTGTCCATCTCGTTCTCAGACGGGCAGTTACATTATCGGATTTCATTCCCCGAATGACGAAATTCTACCTTCTAGTCTTCATTTTCCCTCAGCACTGCGAAATTGTGAAAAACTCTTCTCACCTTCGTACTTCCAATAAATTATAAGCTTACTCTTTCCAAAAGCAGGATGAAAAACTTTATTCTTACCTCATTGGTCCCCCATATACCTTCTCCTTAAAGTATGTCATGGTTTATTAGGTTTACCCCTTTGGCCGTCATTCACTTTGTGTGTAATAAAGGAAATGAAAAATTGAATAGCTGAGAAGCATGTGTCGACCCCCAAAGAGTTGTATCGCCATACCTCAGGTCGGGTTAGGACAGCTTTGGCTACCCTTTGCCGTCTCCAAAGGAGTTCGACAAGACTGCTCTATATCTCCATTCCTCTTCAACTTCGCTGAAGAGGATGTTCTGCAGGACGCTTTGCCCCTTCTGGCAAACGGTGGAGTCGAACTTCTCCCAGGGAACAGATTTCTTGACTTGGAACAATCCGACGGCATCACTATACTTGAAGACAACACAGAAGCAGTCCAACATGCTTTGAACCGCTTGACGATTGAGGAATCCTGGTATGGTATGTGCTTGGCACCTTCCAAATGCAACTTGCTTGTACAAGACTGAGATGAGCCTGTGCCTGAAACTCACCCACTGTGGTGATCAGTTGGAGCAGTTGAGCACTTTTAGTTCCACAAAGCTTGATAGTAACTAGAGACGGAATAGCAAAAGACAGAGCAGCTTTTACCAGCATGCGACATATATGGTGCCACCCCGACACCCAAATTTCTCTTAGGGGAAGCGTTCAGATCACTGCGGTTCATAGTGTTCTGTTTTACGGTTCGGAGACTTGGCCTCCCCGATCTTAGGATATCAATCTACCATCTGTATTCAACCACCGATCTCTCCTAAGCATTACCCATGTCTGGTGGGAACATCAGGTGAGCAGTGCCCGGGGTCGTGAGTTGGGTGCGGAGAATTTTCCTCTGCACCTCATCCGATGATTCGGCGACGATTTGCATACACCTGTCCATCGGCCACCTATCCGTGCCCCGGTTGCACGTGTTGCATAAGGTTGGAAGAAACGTCACGGTGGTCCGACTGTGATATGACGTTGCGACAGAAGAATGTAGCTTAGGAATTGGATTCGTTTGATGAAGCCCGCTTTCCAGGTTGAGACCCAAGAGATGAGGATTGTCTTTGGTTGGAGAGATCTGGCTCAGAATCGAAATCAGTACCACAAACACAGTACGGTCTGTCTGGTACACTTCTGTGCTCCGTAAAATTGCCAGACTAACACACAAGGAAGATCTCAAAACATACGCGGTGCAATAAACCAAAAAATGTTGTTCTTTTGATATTTTGTAATTTTTTATCTTGCATGTTGTTCTCTACTGTAAGCCAGTCTCAAAATTTTCTTTTATTATCGTTGTTGCATCGACACTTTACTTACTTCGAAAACTGATGTAATATATATATATATATATGGCATTATAGGGGAAGATTATTGTGTATGCAACTATTCGTAGACTGTCAGTCGAGTATATATTCACCTTAAGACGCGCTCGCGCACTCAACCACGGGTATAGGTTTCACAGTTCGACTAGACAGGACAATTGTAACAGATGTGCCGTATCTGTGTGGAAAGCACGACAGATTTCGTAGCAAGTGGTGAGTACACACAGATACTAGAGTACAATCACAGAATCTGATGCACGAGTTTAAACAGTATCCAATATGTGTGATCTGTGCATCCTCTTCAAACGAATCATCCATCTCATTTCTTTGATTCATGAGGTAAAAACAGAAGATTACGTTTGATCTCATTCACCACATTTCTACGCTTTTCGAACAAGTAGTCAGGTACAGAGTGTTTTTAATCAAGTTATTATCCTGGTGGCTAGTGCAAGGCGACTGAGATTAGAAGCCTACAACGAGCTTGCAAACATGGACCATGTCGTGTGTGGATCAAGAGAAAGAGTGTGATCAGCTACTGCCCTGTTGCGTTCCGCCTGTGAGATCCCGGGTTGGTGATACTCTCAATTGGGTCCATGCGTTTGCACTGCACCGATGAAACCTTGAAAAGCATTACCCAGCTTGTCAGTCAACGGTTTCTTTGCTCTGTTCACGAAGCACCTCATTATGTAATTTCTATTTCCAAACAACTTTTATTCCTCGTGCTGGAAATTAAGACTCCGAAAGTCACAGTGGCAAAATCGGAATTTCTGAAAAGAAATATGCTCGGTTTATCCGACAAGTGGTTGGGGTTATTTTAGAAAATTTTCTTTAAAGAGCTTGACAACCATTAATCAAATAATCGGATCTTAGTGATAGTAAAATCTGCACACCTAAAAGAACTGTACATCAAGAGTTCTCAATGGTTTATTATTTGACCGCCCCCGGATAAGTGACGATTGTGTTTTGTCGTGAAATATGTTTGGGAAGGAAGAGAAAAACGAAACAGTTTTCAGTTTGTAAAGTGTGCATCATTCTATGGCAACTACAGCTCAGTGTTATATACGATTGTCGATTGGATCCCCGATACGGTTCGAGCTACAAGTATTTAGGATTTCGTTATTTTTACTA